AACCACAGCCGGAAGAATTGGTGGAAGACCCCTGAAAGGTCCAATATGGATGTGAGTTATGATTCTAGTATGCACAGCATTGCGAATGTTTAATCACCTGTGGGGATATAGATATTTTAAAGTTTTAATTAGGCTAGATGGAATCCTAGTACATCGCCGGTCCATAAACACTTACTTTTAGAAACTAAGATCTCCACCGGGGTAGAAATCATTGTGGATTTCTGGCCTATTGCCTCCAGATAGGCCGAGAAGGAAAACAGGCTAACTGGAGGGCAGGAGGGAACCAAGCTTGACCCTCAGAGGACCCGCAGAAGGATGCGGGGGAGCAATTTCAAATGTGGCTGCGTCAACCAGCATAAGCAGGTGAGGTCCCCGGGCTCCTGGGGTCATATGAATTAGAAGAGCAGTACGTTTCTCTAATGTGGTTGGAGGTTACTGCAAATGTGACCCAGAGAGTTGGCCTTCTGAATGACGTGGCTTCTGATGCCCGATGAAGAGAGTAAAGTGAAAAATTGAGCCTGGAGGGTGAGACCGTAGCACAGCTGGTACGCTGTGTTGAGGAAAATGTCAGTCGTTATTTATCATTTACTATTCTCATAGTTGCTCAGTGTATCCACTTTGCTGCGTTCAAGTCTGCCCTGAAACAATTACACAAAATGTCCAAGGATGCTTACTGACTGGTTGCTACCGACCTTTGGTATGTTTGAGGGCGTAGGAAAAAGGATAACATGTTGAATTCATTTACTTTGATCATATAACGTAACATACTGTAATTCACCAGGCCACTGGAAACGCAATGGGATACACTCCTGGTTCTGTATTGGAGTAGATGTAAATGCGAAACAAGTCAGTATAGTAATACTACTTACATAAAGGTTAGAGGTCTCTAATATCCCATGTACTTGAACTCAATCCTACTCATACAGCATCGGTTACTTGATTGGTGGAGGAAGCCACGCCCGCAGCTGCGCAGGCGCAGACCTCTGGGAGTAGAGAGGAAGATGGCGGCTTGTAAGCATTATCGCTAACAGGTTAAGCTAACGCTGCATATCATCGAGCCCACGGTCAACGCCCCACTCTGAGTCAACCGAGTAACACAGGAGGCATGGACTGTAAATACTGGAGTCCTCTCTAAGTTATTTCCAAGGAACTACACTCATAGTCAGCCTGAGGAGAGAAATGGCGAAGAGTGGGCGGACCAGGGCCAGTAAACACCGCTGCAAGCAAGCAAACCCAGTCCCACCATCGCCCCCACCCCTCACAGGAAGCAAGCAAAGGTAATAAACAAAATAACACGGGAACACTGAGGGACCCGGTAGTGTTTCCCAAAAGCTACCACTATGAACCTGAACAGAAGGCAGGATCGGATCTCAGATGCAGAAGCCGCGCTGCTGCTTAGCCGGGGTGCTAGCTGTGCTTCGTCATGCTACGGAAGCAGAGACCCGAGCCGCAACCTCCCCCTGATGCTATCCAAGTATCTTATAAGCTTAATCTTGCAATCTGGGAGTAGATTCCATGGATTATAAACCTAGGCCTTTAATGATAAGAGAATATCAAGATCAAACTGATTATTGAATGTGAATTGAGTTGATTAAGCTCCAGTTCTATAGTTGTGGCTCAGTGGTTTGCCAGTTTACACCTCATCTAAGTTACTTTAAGCTGAGCTCACATGTATTCCATCAACTGGTGGAAATGATGAGTGCTCCGGAACAGAGAGCCATCAGAGAGACCTGACGAGGGCAGGTGAGAGGTTGTCATCTTAGAGACCAGGACAACATTTATAAGGGGGGAGGGGGGGGGCAGCAGGATAAAGGACAGAATAGAGCATACTGTGCTCTGGGGGCTGTGTCACTATTATGCTTTAACATTAAACAATAGGTGTTGAAAACATGGCTATTGGAGAAAAACCCTGATTTGATTTAGTCTTAGGTATGGTGGTTCAGTGTGAGACATTATATTCAGGACAATGCCAGGAGATATGCAAATCAGAAATAGTTTATTTATTTATTATCGACTCAGCATCGGCATGAAGTGCAATGCAGGATCAAACTTGATTCCATGCTCTATAACATTGGAGGACTGATTGGTTCCACCTTTAAGCCTCTGTCATTCCAGAAGCCAAAAGTCTGCCCCGTTCGGGCCACTGTATTCGAAAGGGGACACCTGAAGACCACCAGGAGAGGGGGGATGAAATCCGGAGAGACGGTATGGAGAACCACAGTGCGGAAATATGGCTGATGTTAAATTCTCAACCTAGGTATTCGAAACTGCTGGGAATTGGAGAAGATTTCCCAGGTATTTGGTCATTAAAGTCAGATAATAGCTTTAACCGGCATTATGAGTTGTATGGGGGACAGGTTACATGCGATTAACAATTTACACGTTTGGATAATAAAACCTTATTTATGATAGCGTAAGAGAGACTTAGCTCCAGCGACCTAGCGGTAGAGTTAGATGTTAGGTTTGACATATAACCGCTGCCACGGGCCACATAGATTCAAGATATAATGGTCAGGTATAAAAAGCCCACGACGGCAGATAGTTGAATGCCAGCTAAGCCCTGATCTGAGGTATCGGAGAGCTCCATAATGTCGCAGTTTGGCCCTCAGACTCTGCAGCTCAAAGAGGCCATAGTTGCTCTGGATGGACGCACCGGAACAGAGACAGAATCCAGACTGTAGGAGGTAGTTGGTTCTTATACCACAGAATCAGATCAGCTGTGTTTGTACGTACTCGGTGGGGCTGATCAGAAAGCTATTTGACTTATATAAGAGGGCAATCGTTTAGTTCCTTATAGTACTGGTATTGTGTCAGCAGTTCTGATTACATTGATATGAGATGAAACATTTAAGAAATGTCTCTATGTTGCTAATCATTCTGCTTTCTTTTCCCAGAGGGCCCTTATTAAGAAGAGCAGAGACAGCAGCTCTACACAGAACCCTATGCCTTGGCTTCTTCAATGCTACAAAACCACCGCCGTGGAGCTTCACAATTTGTCCTGTCTGATCCTGGGTCAAGGACCAAACGAGCCAGTGAGAGATAGATTATGTTATTGGTTAATGGTAATCATGCACTGTGACTGTATGATGAAGTGCCTTTACCCCACCCTTAGAGTTTCAGTGCTCTCTGTGATTAGGGATACTAAATGCAATAAAAGAGAGGGGCAGACAAATGTGCCTCAGGGCGGCGGGGGATTTGTAACTGAAAGCACATCTATGTCTGTTCACCTCGCAAAGATAAGAATCAAACCTTATCCTGTCCTCTTATGTTGTTTGCTGTGCTCAATAAGTGTCAATTCAGACAAATACGCGGGTAGTCCAAATGATGAATACAGAACAAACCGCTGGCAGAGATGGAAGACGGAGCTAGTGGGCCCGACAGACAGCAATACTCCAACCCAGCAGGACCACCGGTGACTAGGGGTCAAAGTTGAAGAGGTCACACAAGAGGTTCAGCCTGAATTGTGGAGGGAAAATGATCAGGACAGCTCCATGCTGCAATTCAAAAGGCGGCAGAGGCGTGCGATGCTGCTTATGACATAAAAGTTTAATTGTGAACATAAGAGCATGTGAAGTTGTTGAGAAGCAACAGGATGTATTGTAGTGTCTCAGTTCTAGAAGACGTGCATGATCCATTTGTGAGTGCTCGTTATCCTCTTGGGTGTGTCCCAGCATCTGCCATCCTGAGATCCAATAAGAAGGAGGAGGTGGCCCATCAGACCCGGATCCCCTGCAGAAAGAGTTATGCTTGCTGGGGCTTGATTGCCAGAAAGCTGGTCAAGAGTGGGGACCCCGGCTCATGAGTAGGCTGCAGGCTGATGTCTAAGAGGAACGCTGAGAGTTTGAGAGACAAAAAGCTTGAGATATTCGAAACTATGTTGCCACTCAGCAATGCACCACAATTAAATGTATTATATTTTATGCGTTAAAAGGATTGACTTGTTTCCTGACCCACCTCTATTGTATTAATCATGTAGTAACCGAGCATGTTTCTTAAGTTAAACAGAGCATCTAGTATTAGGTGCACTAATGTTAGCCCCCAGCACAGCATCCTGTATTGACAAGTACTTGTTCTAACACATTGATGAAGCGGTGAAGACGAATACAGGTCGAATCAATTACGCACGGAGTTTGAAGGGTTCATCGGGGTGGAGTCTCCCATAACTGGCAGAAAATAAGAATAAGTTCAAGAATGTGTTTCTAAGCATCTTAAGTAGGTGGAAGTTGATAAAAGTAGGTGTTTAGTGTATCATGGAAAACACCTTATTTGTTGACAAGTCACGGTCGCACCATATGACATGATAGAACCACAGCCAAAATTATACTGATGGAAAACCCCTGAAGAGGTCTAAAATGGATGTGGAATTATGATTTCTATATGTACAACCTTACACCTGTTTATTGATTTGATGGATAAGCGTTGAAGTTTAAATTAGTTTGGTGGGGATCCTAATGCATCGATGATCCACCAACACTAACCCCTGTAGAAGCTAGGATCTCCACAGGGGTAGAGAACATTGTAGATTTCTAGCCTATTTTATCTCCTGATGAACCAAGAAGGAAAACAGGTCAACAGGAGGGCAGGAGAGGTCCATAGCTGGGCCTTGGAGAGCCAGCATAAGGATGCGGAGGAGCATCCTGGATGCTTCAGACATGCGGTACGTTTGAG